ATTGGGATCACAGGCATGTGCCACCATGCCCAGATAATTTTTGTATTTTTAGTAGAGACAGGGTTTCACCATGTTGGTTAGGTGATCCACCCACCTCAGCCTCCCAAAATGCTGGGATTACAGGCTTGACCAACTTCATTCTTTTGCATGTGGTTGTCAGTTTTCCCAACACCATTTGTCAAAAAGACTATTCTGGCCAGATGCGATGGCTCACACGATTAATCCCAGTCCTTTGGAAGGCCGAGGTGGGCAGATCACCTGAGGTCAGGAGTTCCAGACCAGCTTGGCCAATGTGGTGAAACCTCATCTCTACTAAAAATACAAAAATTAGCTAGGTGTGGTGGCATGTCCCTGTCATACAAAAAGTTATCTGGATGTGGTGGTATGCACCTGTAGTCTCAGCTGCTTGGGAGGCTGAGGTGGGAGAACCACCTGAGCCCCAGAGGTTGAGGCTGCAGTGAGCCATGGTCATGCCACTGCAGTCTAGTCTGGGCAACAGAGGCAGACCCTGTCTCAAAATAACTAACAAAATCCACAAATACAGTCATCCCTGGTAATGAGGGATCTACAGCTGTGATTTTGCTGCCTGCTCTCTATTTGCCTTACAAGTTTTTTCTCCTCCATTTCTGCATTACTGTCTTCTTTTATGTTTATTTTTTAAGTGAAATATTTAAATTCCTTTCTCATTTCCCTTTGTGTACATTATATAGCTATTTCCTTTGCGGTTACCTTGGGGATTACATTTAACATTCTAATGTTATAACTCTAATTTAAATTTATGTCCACTTAATTTCAATAAATTTGGCTCCTTTACAGCTGTATTCTACGTCTTTCAGTTGCTGATGTCACAGAATTTCATCTTAATTCACTGCATGTCTCAAAACACAAATTAATCATTCTTTTAAATGCATTAGACTCAAAGCATGAACAAAGCAAGACGTGAAGTTAAAAACCAAAGTGATAGGAACACCAGCTTTTTGACTCATGCTTTTAAAAACACATTCTCTTAAATCATTTATAAAATTAAAAAGTGTGGTTACAAGCCAGTGTTACTATAGTACTAACTTTGATCATTATAGTAACATATCTACTTTCATTGAGATCTTTCCTTAAAGCCCTTTCTTTACATAGCTTGAAGTTACTGTCTACCGTCAGTCTTTCATTTGACCCTACAGGACTTTCTGGAGTGTTTCTTGCAGGGCGGGCCTAGTGGTAGTGAACTCCCTCAGTCATTTTTTTTTTTTTTTTTTTTTAGACAGAGTCTCGCTCTCTCACGCAGGCTGGAGTGCAGTGGCATGATCTCGGCCCACCGCACCCTCCACCTTCCAGGTTCAAGCAATTCTCTGCCTCAGCCTCTCAAGTAGCTGGGATTACAGGTTCCCGCCACCAGTCCCAGCTAATTTTTGGATTTTTAGTAGAGACAGGGTTTCATCATCTTGGCCAGGCTGGTCTTGAACTCCTGCCCTCATGATCTACCTGCTTCGGCCTCCCAAAGTGCTGGGATTACAGGCATGAGCCCCTGCGCCTGGCCTGTTTTCATTGTTTAAAGTTTTATTTTCTCTTTTCTTCTTTGTGTGTGTGTGTGTGTGTGTGTGTGTGTGTGTATGTGTGTGTGTGTGTGTGTGATGGAGTTTCACTCTTGTTGCCCAGGCTAGAGCGCAGTGGTGCGAGCTCTGCTCACTGCAACCTCCACCTCCCAGGTTCTAAGTGATTGTCCTTCCTCAGCCTCCCAAGTAACTGGGATTGTATGTGTGCGCCACCAAACCTGGCTAGTTTTGTCGATTTAGGAGAGACAGGGTTTCACCATGTTGGCCAGGCTGGTCTCAAACTCCTGACCACAGCTTGGATCATAGGAGTGAGCCACCACACCCAGCCCTCTCTCACTTTTAAAGGACCGTTTTGCTAGATATAGAGTATTTATTTATTTATTTTTCTTGAACACTCAGAATGTATCAGCCCACTGCTTCCTGACCTCCAAATTTCTGGTAGCTGCTGATAATCTTGTTGACAATCCCTTGCTTGTGATAAGTAATTCCCACTGCTCTCAAGGGTCTGTCTTCTTATCTGTCTTTCGAAATTTGATTATAACGTGTCTTAGCGTGGGTTCTTTGAGTTCATGTTACCTGGAGTTCATTGAGCTTCTTAGATGTTTATATACACATCTTTCATCAGATTTGGGAAGTTTTAAACTCTTATTTCTTCAAATGTTCTCCTGCCCCTTTCAGTCTCTCTTCTCTCACCGTGCATATGTTGCCCTGTATGATGGTGTCCCACAGGTTTCTCAGGCTTTGTTCACAGTAATATTTTTCTTTCTGTTCCCCAGACGATAATCTCCATTGCCCTGCCTTCACATTCACTGATCCTTTCTTCTGCCTGCTCACATCTGCTTTTTAATCCCGCTAGTGAATTTTCATTTCCATGATTATACTTTTCAGTTTTAGAATTTCTTTTTGCTTTCTTTTTAGTGTTTACATCTTTTTATGAACATTTCCATTTGGTCATTCATTTTTTTTTGTTTACTTACTTGACATTCTCCTTTAATCTTCTGAGCATCTTTAAGACAGTTGTTTTAAGGGCTTTTTCTAGCAGATACGTAATCAGGTCTTTTTAGGGACGGTTTCTACTGACTTTTTTCCTTTAAATGGGCCATGCTTTCCTGTTTCTTTGTATCCCTTGTGATTCTTTTCCTTGAAAATCAGACATTTGAATCTAATATCATAACTCCGAAAATCAGGTTTTCCCCCTTCGCCAGGGTTTGCTGCTTTTTGTTACTGTTTTGTTGCTGTAGCTGTTCTCTGGGCCAAGGGTCAGTCTCAGGTACAAACTTCAGGTCTTCTCAGGTCTTTTCTGAGCCTGTGCCTTTCCCTGGGCATGCAATATCACGTTCTAATTTTCCCCATACACGCAGCTGCTTTTGAATGTCCTAGTCTTTCATGTCTGGCTTCCAGAAAGGGAAAAGGAGAAAAATGCAGTCACTTCATCCAGTGCCGGCGAGCTTGCAGCCATGGAGGGAGGTGAAACAGTGGCCACCTGCTTCTTAACAGCTACAAGTGGACAACTGTCTGCCCTGGGGCTGGTGGGGAGGATGGGTGACTGCTATGGTGCCAAAATCAATTACATTTTGCCATCCAAACCTACTCCTGGAAGCTGCAATCCTCCAATAGACTCCAGAACTCCAAAATTGGTACATCGGATTCTGCCTGTGCAGTTTCTGGTGCTTACTGCTCCACCATCTTCCCAGACCCTTCCTAGAACGCCTTTTCTCTCTGTGTACCTATGTCATTGCCTTTGCCAGTGCTCTGTGTTCTTATGTGGTTTTGAGTTACTGTCTTGTGTTCCTTCATTTCAGTCTAAGCTTCTCTTATTAGTATTTCTTGTCGGACAGGTTTCCTAGTGATAAATGCTGGTTTTGATGACATGATAATGTCTTAATTTCACCTTAAATTTTCCAGATATTCTTAGTTGACGATATTTTTTCCCAGCATGTTTAATATGTCATACAGCTGCCTACTGGCCTCCGTGTTTTCTGGTAAAAGGATCCCCTGTACGAGGCGACTTGCTCCTCTCCTGCTGCCCTTCAAGATCCTCTCTTCGTCCCCGGCCATGATGGTTTGATAATGATGTGTCTAAGTGTGGCTATCTCTTTGACGTCCCTACTTGGAATCGGTTCAGCTATTGTCTGTGTAGATACATCTTTATCTTTGGGAAATTTCAGCCATTCTTTCTTTCTTTCTTTTTAAAGATGGGGTTTCACCATGATGGCCAGGCTGGTCTTGAACTCCTGACCTCAGGTGATCCACCCACCTCGCCCTCCTAAAGTGCTAGGATTACAGGTGTGAGCCACCGCGCCTGGCCCATTATTTCAAGTAATTTTCTGCCCCTTCATCTCCCTCCTCTCTTTCTGGGGCTTCAATTATGCATTTGTTTGCATGTTTGATGATGTCACACAGGTCTCTGAGTCTCTGGTCAGTTTTCTTCATTCTTTTTGTGCTCAGATTGGATCCTTTCCACTTACGTATTCCCTTTTTTACTTACACTTCATACTACCTGCTCAAATCTGCTGAGATTCTCTAGTGAGAGTTTAAATTCAGTTATTGTACTTTTCAACTCCTGGATTTCTACTTGGTTCTCTATAATTTCTGCCCTTTACTGATATTCTCTGTGTGGTGAAACGTATCTCATATTTTAAATTATTTAGAAAAATTTTCCTTTGTTCTCGGAACACATTTAAGACCATTAATTTGAAGTATGTGCCTGGCACCTGCAGCACCTCGTTTCCTCCCTGACGGTCTCTGTTGATTGCTTTCTTCCCCACGTGGAGGCCGTACTTTCTTGTACTTTTTCATGTCTCACAATTTTTGGTTGAAAAATGAACGTTTTAAATAGTAAAATGTAGCAAATCCGGAAATCAGATACCTCCTCTACCCCAGGGCTTGCTATAGTTTGTTTGTTGTTAATGTTTCTGAATTCATTATGCAAAATCTGTATTATCTGCCATGTGTGGCCACTAAGTCTCTCCTCAGTTACCTTAGCGGGCAGTTAATGAGCAGACAGAGATTTCCTCGAGGGCCCAGAACCAGTCATCTCCCAGTTTCTCTTCCGAGGCTCTGTGGCAGTTCACAGCTCTGCACTAGCCCCCACTGCCTGCTTGCACAGAGCCTCGAGGTCAGCTGGAAGCACAGCTCAGGGCCTTCCGAAGTCTTTCCCGAGCATGCACTCAGACCTGGGAATACGTGTGGCCTTCCAGATTCCCAGGAATATGTTGGATTTTTTTCAGTTTTTTTCAAAGCTCCCCATGGACATCTCATTTCCCAGATTTTCCTTTATTTATTTATTTATTTATTTTGTTGTTCTATTACTTGCCCAACTGTTAGCCACCACCTGGGGCAACTGCAAAGTTCATCAATTGCCTATAATTATTTTCAATGATAGCCCCAGGAGAAAAGTCTTTTCATGCTGGGTAAGCTCTGAATCAAGTCAGAAACACACAGATTGCAAGTGGTGTCTTCCAGGGAACCACCAGATAGGTCAAATAATCATGACTTCCTGGAAATGAGGCTTTGAAAGAGCTCCAGCTCCAGTGGCTGCCAGACTGTTAGTTTTTATTATAAATATGGGTTGTTAATTTTTAAGCCTACTACAGTGCTGGAGGGGGTGGGTGGGCATGCATGCTGTTCTCGCTAAGATTCAGCCTATTTTCTCCATAACATAAAATAGCTCCACATAGATTGCTGCAAGCCTGTGGTTAATTTCCAGAGCACTCAAAAACGTTTTCTGACGTTTTTGCCACCTTTCTCACTGCGTGGAGGAAGATGAGACTTCTCCGAGGCCCTTGTGCTGTCCTTTTTGCTGCACTCTTGACATCTTACTGTGGATAGAAAAAGCCACTGTCAGGTGCCGCTGAAAATGGACAGGCTCCTATACGAGGGAGGTCACCTGTTGCACAGAGGGAAAAAAGCAAAGGTGTTCAGAAGCAGACAGCAGCAGCAGCTTCTCCTCCCAGATACGCGGCTTACCAGCAGTGACCTGGCCTCCTTTGCCAGGTGGGACTGGGGGAGCCCCTGTGGAACCTGGTAAGACTGCTGCGTGTGCCTCCCCCGCATCGGCCTGGCATGTAGCAGCACTCGTGCTACCAGAGGTGACGCAGCCAGGCAAGGTCCTCACTCAGCGTCAGCTAAATCAGTCAGAGAAGGGCCGGGGAAAGCACTGTGTGGGCTGTGGCTCAGCTCACGGGCACCATCCCCACCCTCCTTCCAGGTGCCCTCTTGGACTGCAGAGGCTGCAGTGCTGAATCCAAAACCTTGGATTCCCCGACCTGATTCAGGCTCTGCCAATCAATCGGAAGTGTCAGGGAAACCTGAATGCAGACTGGAGGTGTGTGGGCGAGGGGGGCGCAGGAGCGGGCGGCCCTCTGCTGCCGGGGTGGCTGGTTCCCACAGGGGGGACCAGCTGCCCACCCAGCGGCCCCCATCCTGCTGTGCAGCGTGGGAGGTCACCCTCGGACACTCAGTCCAGAGCCTCCCTCTGACCCTCCTCACAATTCTATAAGCCACTTACCTCCATAGTAAATCCCCATCTGCTCACACAGGCTACGGTAGGCTTAGCTCTCGGTTGGCACTCCGACTGAAAATAAATCCTGGCGTGACAGGGGGTGACCCGGCACTCCTCTGTTGGTGGGGGTGGGGGCGGAGGGGGCGCCTGCAGCTGTTCTCTCTGAGGCCTGTATGGCAGGAAGAAGGTGGCCTGGAAAGAATCCTCTGGGTAGGGAGAGCTGCACGTACAAAGGCCCTGGGGTGTCTCAGGCAGGAAGGAGGGCAGCCGGTGCTGAAGAGGAGGGAGAGAGGAGTGGGCTGCAGAGAGCCACTGGAGGGCCCATCCCCTGCGAGTCTGAGGATGAGGATGAGGAAGGGGGGAGTGGGGCAGGGAGAGCCGCTGCATGGCATGGCCCCACCCCAGGAGTTGACGTCTCACAGGCTGAGGCAGCCTTTAGAGAGCAGCTGTGCGGAGCCCGTGGTGCCTGGCTGGAGCAAGGCCCTGCGAACATGTCAGAGTGAACAGGCAAGCAAGTGCGGTGGACCCACGTTGGCCAGTGCAGCACTTTTCGGGGGGTGGGGGGGTTCCAATTCTTAGCAGCGTCCCTTGGGGAACCAGAAACGGAACCTGGAGTCTGCGCGCTCTGGAGGAGGACGCCCGTCCCGTGGGCGGGGATTCCCAGTCTGAGTCAGCAGATGTGGCTGGGAGCTTGGCGCTGCTGGGCCAGGCCTGGGTGCCTGTGCCGCACCCCAGGGAGGGGCTGTGGGCAAGCCCTGAAAGAGCCGTTGTCATGCCAGACCCTGAGGGAGGCCTCTCCCTTCCCAGCTGGGACTCCAGCGCCCCTGGAGGGATCCTGGGTTCTGGGGCCCAGGGCAGGGCCACAGCCTAGGAACAGGGCAGGACTGGCAGGGGAGGCTCACCAGGGATTTCACAAACCAACCCATGGAAACCCCACACCCGCCTGCTCAGATCCAATTTCAGCAGCACAGACCCCACCCTCCCAGGCCCGACCCGGAGCTTCACAGCACCTTGCGGTTGTCCAAAAGTCCAAGCTTAGCAACACATTTTGGTTAACAGACAACTTTTAAACACTGCCAACACCCTGGGAATGTGGGCGCCGATTACTCACTCTGCAGGCTACACTTACCCAGCTGCAGCACGCAGTAACGGGCGTCAAGGACAAGGGGTTGCCCGCTGGGGCCGTGGCAGGGCAGCCAGGTGGAGCTGGACGCGGACAGACTAGCTGCTCTGCCCAGCTGCAGACAGGCAGTGAGCGCTGTCTGCAGCCACAGCCTGGAGCCACACTCCCCCGAAAACCACCTTGGGGCAAGTGGCTCAAGTGACCTCCAGGAAGGCCCTGTCCTCAGAGGACCCTGGCGTTGCTGTCAACTGATTGACTAAACACTTTGTTGAATAAGGGAGTCCAGTTTACAGAATGTGTCCGCTCCACCCAGCCTCCCGCGGCCT